TTCTATCTTCTGTATGTTCTGGCCATGCTACTACAAATTCACCCCAGAAAAACAAAAGGACAAGGTGATACAAAGTTGGGTCCGTAGGTATTCTTAGCAGCCTGGGCTGTTACAGTCTGCCACAACAGGGTGTGGAACCAGCTCCACGACACAGTCACGACAGCAGTCACCTCAGATCACTCTGGGAAGTGTAAGCACAGAAAATGAACAACACCACATTCTCGTTAACAAGAGCAGAGGGAAAAAGTACAGACTCTGACGAAGCAGGGGCCAAAGGCCCTCACTCTCATCAACAAACCCACCACCCTCTGGTGAGGCAGGAACCAAATCTGCCAATTTGCTCCTGTCTAATACAGAGCATCCATAATAGTGACTATCTCTCTGGCTTGGGGTAAAGATTAGCAAATAAAAATAACTACAGTATGCAGCAGTTTTAGAGTAGGGAACTGTTCTTAAAAACGATCTAGGAATTGCTTGCTGCTCTGTGGCTTTTAGACCTAAAAAAAAAAAAAAAAAAAAGTTTGAGCTTCCCAGAGACTAAGAAATGTTAACAGAAAAATACAATCTCCCAAGACCTCAGAGGAAAGCTAGTACTGTGCAATTTCCACGCAGCTCACTCCCAAGGAACCCTAACCTTCCCCCTCTCCCCACAGGCACAGATTCCTACAACACCGCCTTCCAAGAAGCCATCATAGCACTTTTGGTCATTGAAAAATGAAGCTATTTTGGTCCTTCGACAGGCTGCCAAGCTAGGACCTGGAGACGTGCAGGCTACCATCTGCCTCCTCCCAGCTGAACCTGACCTGCCGCCCGGTATCTGCCTGAGGCCACAACACAGCATGGACGGACGAGCTGCCACACCCTAGCCAGCCTCCCAGCTTAGCCTTCTTCTCATTACTGGGTGGCATGTTGTTGCTCTCCATGACAACCCAGGAGTCTGATTCTGAGGGAAAGATCCGTCCCGGAGCTCTGCAGTCTTTTGTACTATGTGACAATGGATTCCACATTCTCCATGCTTTTTCTGGAAGCTATGGGCCACTTTGGAATGGTAAAATTCTCAACAGAGAATATGTTATCTAACTGGAGAGGCCTGTCACCCTTCAGGAATGACCATCACGTTGTGGATTAAATAATCTGGTGACTGATGCTCTGAGGGTAAGGAGGAGAGGTTCAATTCCATGCTTTTGTAAAAACCACAGTCCCCCCAAATGATGCAGAGGCCCAAATAAGCCCTAAAACTGCAATGTGCACACATTCTCAGTAAAGAGGACACCAAAACAGATGGCAGAAGTATTTATTGTAGCTGGAGTTGTATGCCATTAGTATAGTCATCAAATGCTAACACTGGAGCTGTCAAAGCTTGCTATAACCACACAGATAATGGCTTTTATTGATGGCACATTTTTTCCTATGCCATGTAGTTTTATCTTGTGAATATGGAGACACAATCAGCCTCCAGGTCCACTGTCTAAGTATGGACAGTATACATGGGGGGGGGGGTGAGGGTGGGTCTCAGAACCTGACTAGTGGGCCCAGGAAAGGTGGTCTCCAAAATGGAAAAGAGGTGTTCACTGTATGAAGCTTATGGTCAGTCACCATATAATAACACTGACCCCAGGCAGGCAGTGGTCCAAAATGGATAAAGAGGAGATGTCCACAGGCTACAAGACAGTCCAGGGATTTCCTTTGTTTGCAATCCCAATTTCCCCGCCACACTGCACTCTGTGCACACTCTTGAGTCCTTCTGCTGTAGTTCCCTTGGAGCAACCAGCACCCTGCCTGGGTCCTTCACCAAGCACAGCCCTGCCTGGACCCTTCGTGGTCATCCTGCTCTGGAGAAGCCCATGCTGCCTTCGCAGAGCTGCCCTTCCGTCAACATCTGGAGCTGTGGCTTCCCAGCTCAGGGCAGGCAGCTCCCACACACCATACTCACCATGTGGGCAATCTCTCCTCGCCTTCATGTCAGTCAAACAGGGCTACAAAGCTAATGCCTAGGAACGCTGCCTGTGACAGCAAAGGCAGGAACTTTCCCTCTCAAAGGACAGCAGAACAGTAAGATGAAAACAAAAATCCTCTGCTTGGGAAGAAAAAAAATGTTTGGAGCCTAGTTATTTTAAAAATTAGCCGAGGGTATGAAAACTCTTAAGTCAAAAGGATAAATGCCATCCCCACACTGACCGCTGAGTGGCCTTTGTGTCAGCTGCCGTTGGCTGACTGTTCCTGCATCACACCATCTTTACTAACTGCTGCTTTCTGACCGCATCACACACCCGGTGCTGATGATGCCAAAATAAAACAGAAACATTCCACCCCCACCCCCAACCCTGCTCTCCAGCCAGCCTGTTGGGGCCGGCAGAATCTTCTCACCTGCCCCACCCATCTTGATGGGGACTCTAAGGGACTGTCTGTACCTAACCTTTTCTTGGAGATAGAGTACCTATCAGGCTGTGCTTGTCTTCCTTCACAGGGAAAGCTTAGTAAGAGAAGAACACAAAGAGAAATCTGCAAAGGCCTGCGGAAAGAAGCAGAACTAAGACCGGGCGAAAGAGCCTAGACTCACAAGGCCTCAGAGGAGACCCTAACCCTTTTCTATTTTGCACCTTGAGCCCTCCCTCTGGTAAGGGGGCTTATGGACCCCTCCTCCAGACTGGTTCTTCGCCACTGAAACCATGGAAATACAATTATGAAGATACTAAGAAGTTCCGAGGTAAGGCAACATATGGACCGCATCATTAGTGCACGGAACCCCGGAGCCAGGACCAGGTCTAATTGCCGGCTTCTGAGCCGGCGATGTGCAGTTTTTAGAAATCTGCTATAAATGTTAAAAAAAAAAAAAACAAAAAAAAAACAAACAAACAACAACAAAAAAAAAAAACAAAATCAATGACTTTAATTGGTGAGAAAGACAAAATGCTGCAAATAGTACGGGCATCTGTCATCTCATCTACACTCACAAGGGAAGAAAATGCTAAGCTTTATTGAGACGCTAAGATGTGCTTTTTATGCTTACCCAATTTGACGGTCTCTATAAAACATTCCCTGCAGACCCCAATATAGAAAGGAGCAGGAGGCATGGCTTCTCTGGCAGAAGCAAAGGGCCTGTGGCAGCGCAGCTGGGCCTCTCCCTCTGTCTGGCCCTCATTCTTCCCCACCCACGCCTCAGGGGCCCGAAGACTACTCCTTAAACAGTATATTACAGCCCTCGAGGAGCCCATGTGCAGCCTCCCAGCCTCCCACAGCCACTGCATGAAGCTTCTGCCTCAGGTCCTTCCCACCGACAATTTTTATCTTTTGGATGTCTCACTTCAGCTCAAGTATCTCGGTAACACCAAGCCATGGTATTCTTAGCATGCCCTGTTTTCCGAGTGTTGACTCTCACTTTGTTAAAACCTTCCCACTGTCTGAATCACCTTTAGTCTTGCTTATTTTCCCTTCAGATGCAGAGTATCACTGATTCTGGATTTTCGTAAATGCATAGACTGCCTTAAACACTCACTGTTTGCTGTGGTAACTACAGCACCCACTCCTTTTCCTCCATGTTTCCTTTTCTCCCCCAAGCAGAGGATCCCAGTGTGGCTGGCTCCCGGAGAGCACTGCACAGCTCACGCCAAATGTCCACATGTCCCTTCTGCTGTCTCAAAAGTAGCTTTTCTATAATGATCGCTAGGACCCCTAAGATGCTAGAGGTCCCAAGCTTTCATGTGTGTGATGTTTAGATATTCCCAATGTTCTCCAGGGATGAGAAGATGAGGAGGTAGTGTGTGCCACACAGGTCCTGGGTCCTGCTGGTACCCGTGCCCGGATTCCCGGATTCTATGGCGGGAAGTCCATCAGCACTCCACTGGTCACTTAAGCTATGATGGTGGCTATGGGCTGTGACAGGGAAGGAGGTAAGCCTATACTATAGGCAACAATAAGCTTTACTCTAAGTTAGTGCTTCTCAACCTTTCTAATGCTGCAATCCTTCAATACAGTTCCTCATGCTGTGGTGAGCCCCAACCATACATCCATTTTCATTGCTGCTTCATAATATAATTTCGCTACTCTTATGAATCATAATGCAACTATGTGTTTTCTGATGGTCCTGTGAAAGGGTCACTCGACCACCAAGAGGTCACAACCCACGGATTGAGAACCACAGCTCTAAGTGACGGAACCCCTCAGGGAGTGAGAAATGACGCCTGCAGGCGGGACAGCCGGACGCTGTGGGCTACTTAAGATTAAGAAGTTGCTTGATATTTCTTCATGTTAGGTATGCGATTTTTAAGGTCATTCTGAGAGGTCAAAAGTCACTCTGTAAGAATGTTAGTCACAACAACCATAGCAAGCAAGCCTACCTAACGGTAATACCACAGAGCATCGGGTCTCTGGTGTCCAAGTCTCCAAGCTTAACCTCTGATTTCAGATACTCAAGTGAAACTCCAAGAGTTCATAGTTTCTAACTTTCAATTTTCACAAACATTTTTTTTTTTTTTCCCTGAGGCCTTAGTATGTTTTGTGTATTCTCTGAAGGTGGGAAGCAGAAATCATTTAGACAATGAGTAACCATCATTACCACTATCCTTGAACAGGTTTACCCAGACTCCTAAACACAAAAAAGTATTCATAGGTTACCCAGACTCCTACACACAAAAAAGTATTCATGACGTCATGAGAATGTTTCGTTAAAAAAAAAAAAAAAAGCTGAAAAAAGCTAATTTTCTTGCTAATGACAAGAACAGAACTTTAAAAAGGGTATCTTAATAAGAGCATTAGTTCTGATTAAAGTAAATAACGAGATGTCAAATCACAGCAGCTTGACATTTCTTGATATCAAGATATATTTGAAGTGAACAGAGTCTTATACATGGTCTACATGGAAATAGAATCCAGCAACTACATGAAGCTTCTGTTAATGCTCTGGGCCACATGCACTGAGTTCAATCACACACACACACCTTAGCACCACAGAAGAAAAGCAAACAGCCAGTGTTAGAAACAGAGGTGAGGACAGAGCTTACTTGTAAAGATAGTACTCTGCAGAATCTATATCTTCTCGAGATGAAATGTTGTCCACAAACTAAAGGAAAAAAAAAAAAAAAAGTCCTGGTTAAATACATATTATACTGTATGTTTAATCAAGTTCATACACTGATCCTTAAAACTACTGGAATGATGTCCCAGTAGTATGGCTCCATCCTGAAATCCCTTCACACTGGTGAAGATGAATCATATGCTATAGCTTCTCTTCTATGCATAGACTGTTGGTCCAAAACAAAACAAACAACAATAAAGCACCAAGTAAAAGCCAAACCTGCACCTGCTCATGTAAGATGAACAAGATGAGAGCTTTTTATAGTATTGTTTACAATTATCATTGTCTTTATCCCTGGATCTACATCTCATCCTCCAAACACATGGTTGAAATGTTGCAGACTCTGAAGGCTGGAACAATATTGTTCAGAACATAGAAACCTAAGTGTAGAGAATTCGCTCTGTAACCACTTTGACTCTGGCTTTAGTGTTGATATGGAACAACTGTTACAGGACTGAAGGCTCCCTTCAAGCTATAACATCTACCAAGCACTGGCCCTGGGGTGCAGCTCACTGGTGGAGAGCACTTGACTAATATTCATGAGGCTCTAGGTTCAATCTGTAGCACTTGAGGAAAAAATGAAAAAAATTTGTGAGTATGTTGCTTTCCTACGATGTAAATGAGCAGGAAATATTACCCAAGGATGGATGTTGCCCTCAAGTGGGAAATCAGAAGCAGGAAGATGGAGTAAGAGCCAGGCGTGCTGAGAGTGTAACTAAAACCTCATGAAGAGAGGAAAGGAGGAAAAGGGAGACTCTCTAAAAATAACCAGGGCCTGTGGGTTTGATTTAGAAATCCATTAAAGGGCAGATAACATGTGGTACAAACACAGGTCCTGAGCCTGAGAACCAGCTCTCCTGATAGCATGCTGTGGCACAGACAGATGGCACGGGCCCCCTGGGACTTATTGCTCCATCTGTATAAACAGCTATGGCTTCCGCCCTGAGGAGCTTGAGTCTCAGGTTGGAACACGCACACAAAAGCTCTTTGAAGTTCCAAGTGCTGCCTAAATGAAAATCAGACATTACAGCCGCAGAGGGCCGGCCACCCTGAAAACATTGAAAACAATGGCCTTCCCAAATCTCCTCCTCTCTGCTGGACACGAGTCCCTCAAATCTAAGTGATGACAGCTGAGCCATTCCCCTATTAAGGGGGCAAAAGGCACGGAGAAAGGATCAGGACTGGTAGAAAAATTCCTTCCTTTCCCCTCTTCCAGATTTAATACCTCCAACTGGAGGATCCTGCCCACTTTCAGTATAACCCGAAATCACCATGGAGACAAGACTAGGTACATTTAATGGCGGCAACAAAGGTGGACTTTGACATTCCAGCCTATCTGCTTACAAGCTGTAAATCTGGAGTTACCTCATCATTTGTGTCTCACAAACACATGCTCCTGTGCAAACAAACATACATGATGCATGGCAAGAATCTGGAAGAGCACCTGCCACGGAAGTGCTCTGGAGTGGCTCCTACCAACTCCACTCCTGCCTGCCTGCCTGCTATCCGTCCCCTCACTATGTAGGAGCAGTCAGTTTAACGTCAGCATCCACTGTTTCATAGAGTTATTCAGCTACTGAAAGTATGCTTACTATTCTTACACTGAAGCTTTAAAAACACAAAAGGAAGCACACGCCTTTAATCCCAGCATTCGGGAGGCAGAGGCAGGCGGATCCCTGTGAGTTCAAGGCCAGCCTGGTCTACAGAGCTAGTTCCAGTACAGGCTCCAAAGCAACACAGAGAAATCCTGTCTCGGGAAAACAAAACAAAACAAAACAAAACAAAACAAAACAAAAAACAAAAAAACAAAAAAAACAAAACAAAACAAAAAAAAAAACAAAAACAAAAAAAAACCAAAATCACAGAATAGTGTAACCAGACAAGAAAAGAAACTAAATCAGTGACTGCTAACTTGAGTCTGATATATTTATTTCCTTTCTTTTCAGCCACTACATCATAAAATATCTACTGGTAATTATAAAAACACACTACACTGTGGAAAAATGGTTCCCATGGTGACTATTATTTCCACAACACAGCCTTGTCTATACAGTCTTGCTTGTTTACTTCTTTGAAATATGTTTGAAATTTTCTCACCTGTGATAGTGCTAAAGAGCTAACAGACAACTTTCTTTTAAAATGGTCTTACCCGTGATATTGACAAAGAGCTAACAGGCAACTTCCTTTCATATGCCTTGTCCATTAAGGATGCAAGATCAGCTGTGAAGACAAAGGAGAAAGAACCTTGTTAAACATACACATTTCTCCAGAAAAATCCACCAGACCTGACTCCTGCCAGATGGCTGCACACATTACAAAGTCAGTATCAAAACAGAAGCTCACTCTTGCTCTTTTTCAGAAATTGAGGACAACTGACATTAGTCACAGTTTTAAATGATTTGTTGAACTAGAGAATGTAAAATAGTAACTAAGAAATACAAACTTAGCTGTTAAAAATGGATCAATAAGGTACCTCTGTAAGGAAACACAAAGTATTACATTTGTTAATCTCCAGGACGTGAGGCAGCGGTGAGGACCTGTCACCATCACTTAGACCCCAGCGGCACACAACAGTCAAATATATTAGCAACTCTAAACGTTTGTAATGGTCATTTACCAAGGGACTTCAGATATTTCCTGAACAAAGCAGAATCCCCTTGACCACCCTTCCTCATAAGTAGCCTCCACCACCCAGGTGTTGGCTCCTCTCAACAGAACACCCATAAGAACACTTGGAATTTGTGATGTCACATTCACCTCAGACCCTAAGATCACCTGTGATCCTAGACAACACACACTCCAAATGGTTTATGTCACCTCATACCACTGCTCCTCAAACTGAAAATAATTTCTAGCTCCTCATTCTCCGCTCATGACTCAATCCCATTTCACTGAAAGTAATCTAAAGAGCATCGTCCTTCTATCAAATCTACCAGGCCATTACACCTGTACCGACACAGTCTGCCTTCTAGGGATAAACGGCAAAACAACAACAGATCCCCCTGCTCTCGTTTCCCTCATTGCCACCTCTTTCCTCTGTGCCCCTAACAGCAAGCACCGCCAAAGCCACACCCGACAGGACTTAGTATTTCCAGTCTCTCGGATTTGGGTTTCCATCCCCCCCTAACACCGAAGCACACCTCCAGATTGCTAAACCCAGTGGTGAACTCTCTCCATCCTCATCTTACTTGAGCTCTCTTTAGCCAGAGCTATACTTAAGGAAATGTTTATCCTCTCAACCTCACCCCCACCATTTCTCGGGCTCCTCTGCAGTATCCCCTCTTCCGGAATGCCCAAGTCTCAGCAAGGTATGCTAAGGCTTCACCATGGGGGTCAGGTGCTTTACCATGTCAGTCTCTCCCACGGCTTTAATGTCAGGGTTGGTTCTGTGTGTAGACATCTACCCAATTCCACCCTTCAATTCCAGACCTCCATTTCAAGCTGTATAGAGTGATCTCCATTTGTGTGTGTAATAGGCTTTTCAATTGCATGTCCTCTAAATTCTTCAACTCTCCACTCTAAATATGCTTTCTCCATCTCAGTAAAAAGAGATGGTGTTGTTCTTGATCTCACTGTTCTTCATAACTCTATAATAATTGGTCAGCAATATCTATAGGCTCCAGATTTGAATATATTCATCATTCCCCTTGCTAGGCTACCAATCTCTTTTGCTTTAATAACTACGGAGGAGTCTAGGAGATAACTCAAGCAAGATGAAGAGCCAAGTTTGACCACCAGCACAAATGGAAAAAGCTAAGCATGATGGTATGTGCGTGTGATCCCAGTATTCAGCAGGTCCCTGGGGCTATCTGGCCAGCCAGGCAGCCAGCTAACATGTTAAGTTCTAGACCAGTCAGCAACCTTGCCTCAAACAACAAAGTGAAAGAAACTCGAGGCTGTCCTCTGGCCTCTTCCCATACCTACATGGATGTACACATGCAGGTACCATCACCCATGCAAACACACACGTTATCACCCTTCCCTTACAGCCAACCTCCAGTCAAGAAGACAGGCTGAGGGAGGCTTTTAGAGACAGTTCAAAACCTGTTACTCTCTTTCTGAACCAAAATATTTTCTACTAACTACAAATGCCCACACTAGATGGTTCTCCTCCTCCCCTTACATTCAAAGTGTCAGGAAAGAACTAAATCCACTGACTCACCCTCAGTTTATGGGCACCCAGGACATATCTAAAGTAAAGAGAAAAGGCAAAGAGGGAAGGATGAGGAATAAATGATCATACTTCTCAGGCTTTCTCACTCCGGTGGATGGAATGAATAGCAAATCTTGAGACACTCGGCCTGTACACTGTGTACACTGGTACCCTCTACTGTGCATTTAGCCATTTTCTCCTCATTTCCCTGGGGGAAATGAATGGTCCTTATGACTTACAGCAACGGGGGGAAAACAACTTTGTAAAACTCCTGAAAGCTGACATGACATAAACAGCCTTTTTAATGGCCATTGTATTGAAACAGGCGGTTACAGCATCTGTAACACCTACAAACAGACCCTTAAACCCTTCCTATCAGGGGTTGAGTGTACTTGCTCAAAATTAGATACCAAACAGCACTCTCATGCTACCAAGTCTACAGTTACGACCACTCTCACATTCACGATCAAGATGAGAGGAATCACCTCCCTTTCTTCAAAATGTATACTGTATTCAAACGAGCAAGCAAGCAAACAAATCAGGAGCAGCATACTGGCCTAACTGAAATGGCCAGCGAGCTCCCCACCATTGTTCTTTCCATGGTACATGAAGCATCTCACCCATCACAGGGCTGAGACAGCTTCTCAGATCACCTCCAGGCGTGGTAGCCAGATTCTATCTGAAACCTTCACACCCAGGCATCTTCAGTCAAGTGGAATTGGCCAGGGCTTCAAAAAAGGCAACAGCTGCAGAGCCCGCATATGATGAATAACATTTCCATACTGCACGTCAGAAAGGTTTGCTGCAAACACACTATATGACCAATCACCTTGCGTTACAGCGCTGCTGTGATGGATGAGGCAGAAAACAGCAAAGGGCAGGAGGGCTAGGAAAGCAGGGCAGCTGCAGCATACGGCGGGCCAGCACCACAGGCTTCTGGACCCGGCCTTCCACAGCCACAGTCACACTTCATGCATTAGCGAGGGGCCAACAGACGCCCAAGTTCCATTCAATGGGCTGTGCCAAAGACATTGTTTTACTAAGTCCTCAGCTCTCCAGGAATACACACTGAAGCTAAGGATGGCTGTGGACAACACGGACGAGGGGGAAATAAATGGACCTGAAGTAAGGATTCTTCATTTAGCAGGATTCCAACCACACCACGTGGAAACATGTTTAGAAGATGAAACACAGGGCAGTACTAAAGTGTTCTTGTTTGAAGACAGCCGTAGCAGTGAGGATCTAAGGACATAAAAGGTTTCAGTGACGATCCTGACTTTTTATAATGATGGAGTGAATTCCATCTCTGAGTTCGAGGCCAGCCTGGTCTACAGAGCAAGTTCCAGGACAGCCAGGGCTACAGAGAAACTTGTCAGGGGATGGGGGTGGGAGGATAACATAAAAACAAACCTGTGAAGTTCCGGGCCTCCCACCCCGAATAGGTGTGTATTCTATAGGTTTGCAGTAAATGAGGGGCATCCAAGTACATTAGCAACAGAGCCAGCAGCTGGCGGAACAGCCAGCTGAAAAGAACATGAAATGTAAAAGAACTACCACGGAGGGAGGGAGGCAGGTTTTGGATGTGGTGTCTAAGCTCAAATAAAATACTAAGCAGAAATTCAATCTCTGGAATAAGATGAACTATGTTGTTTTAACCACCCTTCTCACCATAAAGCACTTAAATGGTAATTATTTTTCACATGTAAAACTGAGCTTTGAAAAAGGTAGGTATAATTGCCAGGGCACACAGAAACTCACACTTGGAGGGCTGAGGGAATAATCACAGAGGCAAGTCACCCCAGGGCAACAGGGAGACCCTGTGCCATAGAGCCTTGGTTTTAATAATGGCAGCATCAGAGGGTAACAAGCTGAAGCTGGTTAGGGAGCTCTCATGTACAGTCAGACAGGAGCTGCATTTGTACTGAAAAGAGGAACTGGAAAATAATGCCTCTATAAACAAGGACCACTGCTCTCCGAGGATTCTAAACCACAAGTCACCCCCAATGCCTCTGAGGCCTTCACAATATGCCAAGCTAAGGATACTCTTCAAAGGGGTGTTCTTTCACACAATATCTAAAACTAGCTAACGAATCTAATGGACGAGAAGTAGTATCAGCCACTGCCTGGGAGCCTGGCTGTGCGGCAGAGAAAACTGCCTTTGGAGGGCACTGGGACTGTGACAAGTAAGGGCATATCCAGCTCCACATCTGTCAACACTTATTAACCTGTATGCTTTAGGTATGGCTTGTTTTTTACATAAATACTGCCACAAAGCTCAAAAGAAAGGGATGGGTAGGAAAAGAAAGGAAATAAAAACAGGCATAGTGCTGATGTCTCTAATCCCAGCCCCCCTGAGTCCTGCGGCAAGAGGAGCAGTTCGAGGCCAGCCTAGACTGCACATCGTGAGCGTGTCCCAAAGGCAAGCAAGCAGGCCCGCAGTAAGTTCAGGGGCAGGCAAGCAGGCTAGACATAAATGAGAGCCAGTGGATTGAAAGTCAGACCGGGACAGAACTACAGACTGCAAAAGGAAATATGAGGGTGACATTAAGAGACATCAGAAACAGAGTACGTTCTGAGATAAACTTAAAGTCCAAAGAAGTAAATGAAGAGGGTGAGGTGACGAGTAATGGGAAAACAGCTGAGAAGTGAGTGTGTGTGTGTGTGTGTGTGTGTGGTTATGTGTGCGGAGGACACAGGTTACCACCAGCATCATTCAGTTGCTCAGGCACTATCCATACTGTTTTTTGAAACAGGGTCTCTTATTGGTTTAGAGCTTGCCAATTAGGCCGAACGCGCTGTCACCAGGCCCCAGGGATCCCTGGTGTTGATATTCCAGGCAAGCACCATCACACCTGCCTTTTTTTTAAAAAAAAAAAAAAAAAAAAGAACTATTTTATGTGTAGTATTTTACCTGCATGTATGTGTATGCACCATGTCCTTGCAGTGTCTGACAGGTGCCAGGTCCAGTGGAAATGGAGTTCCGGCTGCTGGGAACCAAATCAGATTCAATACAAGAGCAGCGAGTGCTGAGTCATCTCTCCAGCACCCCACATCTGGCTTCTCCACT